GTGGCAGTAATCCCTATCCCACTTACCAAAAGAGAAAATAGACACAGAGCAGCTAAGTGATTTTTCTACAGCCATATGGTTGGCGGCTAGTAGACCGTGGGCTTAACTCACTGGAGAAGAAAGATCAACAAAATCTCAAGATCCTATAACCCATTCCAAATGCGAAGACCCCGCATTGCTACTAAACACCTGATGATTCCCAAGGTTCTAATCTAGGCCAGTTCAGATTCAAATGTCCAGACGACCTCATATCCCAAAAGATGGGGAGATTATTAGATATCTCTCTCTCTATCTCTCTCTCTCTCTCTCTCTCTCTCTCTCTTTCTCTGGCTGGAAAGGAGTACTGGCCACGAGGAATCTCAAACTATATATTCTTCAGGGCTTCCCACTGCTCTTGGCATAATATGACAGGTAAAAGCAATGTATCCCCAACATCTAGGTTAGTGCCCGGTACATAGTAGATGATCACTAAATACTTATTTGGATGAATACATGGATACAGGGATAAATGCTTGCCAAGAGGACTCATACTATAAAACCTTTACATCAGGTAATTCTGAGCCAGGAGAGAAGATGTAGAAAGAGTCATTATTCACTTCCAAAATGACTAACTCCCTTTCTCGTCTCTTCTTCGAAGTGGCAGTAATCCCTATCCCACTTACCAAAAGAGAAAATAGACACAGAGCAGCTAAGTGATTTTTCTACAGCCATATGGTTGGCGGCTAGTAGACCGTGGGCTTAACTCACTGGAGAAGAAAGATCAACAAAATCTCAAGATCCTATAACCCATTCCAAATGCGAAGACCCCGCATTGCTACTAAACACCTGATGATTCCCAAGGTTCTAATCTAGGCCAGTTCAGATTCAAATGTCCAGACGACCTGTATTTAGTAACTTTAAATCAAGTGCACATCAATTGGGGCAAAAAGAAAGTGGCTTTGTGGAAGGGGTGCAATTTCAAATACTGCCAGCAGGTGGAGGCAGAGTGCACCCAGGTGTCTGGTCTTTGCCGCTCACCTGCTATTTTCCACAAGGTAATGCACAATTTTGTCCAGGACCTTCTCAAACAAGGCCGTGCGGATCCACAGGTGCTTGATGGCAAGTGGGGACAGGTTGGGTAGCTTCGGCAGCTTCCGCACATTCTCCTGGAGGCCCTGGATCTGGTTTCGCCTTTGAGACCAGTAAGGAAGGAGAAAAGATATTCACCAAAAAGGAAAATCCAAGAGGATCCATATGCAAATGGGAAAATGGTCAACCTATCTAGGAAATAAAGAAATGGCAACTAAAACCATATCGCTCTTGGCAAATGGTAAAGAGTTGAACAAAATAATACTCAGTGAGCATGAAGTGGTGGTAAAAAGAGATAATTTCATACACTGTTGATGGGTAAGCTAGAATCTCATACTGATATATATATATACACACACACACTCATACACACACACACATATATTTCTCTCTCTCTCTGCTAGAAAGGAGCGCCTGTACACCATGCTCTGCACTCACGCGTTCTCTATCAGCTGCTCCAGGTCCTGGACCTTGCGGCTCAGCTCGTCAGCTGGCGGGAAGCTCTTGCCCACCTTCATGAAGAGAGCCGCGATCTTGTTGCTGCGCAGGAAGCCAGCCGCCCGCCGCCGCAGCCCGTGCAAGACGCAGGCCTCCACAGCCGCTGCAGAGACAATGGTCAGCAGGCCCTGCCCTGCCCATGCTCCCCAGCGCCCAGCTCAGACACACGGGCACCTGGGAAAGCGGGGGGGGGGGTCCCCCAGAATCACAGGTTTGTGACAACATCACAGGGAACAGCATGTATGCCTCTCCACCTTCAACCCCCTCAAAAGGGAGAAGGAGAGCTTAGTGGCTAACCCACACTCACAGCTCAAGGTCAGACCACCTCTCTCACATCCTTTCCCAGCCCCTCCCCAGCTGCGTGACTTAGGCAATGCCTTCCCCTTCCTGAGTCTATTTCCTCAGCTGTAAAATGGGGACAGTACGACCATTAACCTCATAAGGTTGCTGTTCGGATGAGGTGGCAAAAATGCCTGAAAAGCACTTAGCACAGAGCCGGGGACCTATGAGTGCTTTCCGACTGTTACCTATTCCTCCTGTTAATGGGGGAGGGGAGACTGGACCACAGGACTGTTGAGCATCATCTGTGTTAAGGAACCACATCATCATCATCATCATCATCCCTACTGAGACTCCAGGAACAGCTGACATGATAACATTATAACAGGACCCTGGTGGCGTCCCCAGTCATCTGAACAGAAGCTTCATGGAGCTAAGACCAGGAGAGGGAAATTACAGCATGTCCTTCCTTACGAGACACTCCAATCATGAAATAGCTTTTGGGGGAGAAAAAAAGAAACATGTCTGCTTGTATGTACACACTCATTATGAGCTGAATCCTGACTTCAGGGGCACGCACAACACGTGTCCCTCTAGCCATTTGGAATGCACAGTAAGAAGCTGGCAGTGAGGTTATTTCGGGAACCTTGTGAGCGGAGCTGGTTCAAGGAGAGCAGTGAGTCACGCTCTGAGCGCTGGTCCTGCCTCCTTTGCTGAGCTAGCTAGACGGGATCCCTTAGGACCTCAGGATGTGTCCACAGCTCTTCATTCCGTTTTTTAAAAGTCCCCATCCGTCCTCTCCTTTTACTTGGCACCAGCCATAGGCAGAGTGAGGAAAGGACATGAGTCCATTCCTCAGATGCAAGACCCCTGTCACCTGGGACAGGGTCAGTGTGAACTGAGCCCCCAGCAGGGGAAGCCAGGCCTCCAATGTTAACCATGATTCCCTCTTCATGGGGTCCAGAGGTCATGCTTAATTTCCTCTCTAAACTTTTCTGTATTTCCCAATTCCCTAATGAAGGAATCCAAAAATACCTTCAAAGTTACAAAGCAAAAAAAAAAGAAGTGATGTGAGAATCCTTGCTCAAACACGCCCCCCCCAAGGGAGCCCCCCAGAGGAAGAAGCCACTGTTCAAGGCCATGGGCCACAGACTCACCACAGAAGGAGATGATGTGGCTGCTATCTTCGTGGACAAACTTCCGTGTGACGGCCTCCTCCATGATCTGCTTCACCTGGAAGGCAGAGGCAGCTGGAGGGGAGACCCCAATGCGACCTGGGGTGCAGACACCCCTGGGGCCTTCACAGGCTGTCTGGAGAATTTTGATAACTGCTTTCCTTCTACACCCTGTGCACCGTGTCTTCTGTAGGTCCAAGCCCTGTGGCCTGGGATAGCTGCACCCTTCACATTTTACTGCATCATTCTTTCAGGTTCCTTGCATGGCAGGCTTCTTCTCAGGTGTCACACAAGATGTCATCTCCTTCCCTGACCACATCATCTGAGGCAGCCCTCCCGCCTCCATCCATCCCATTCTAGAAAGAATACTCAAATT